TGGGGCATAGTATGTAATTACAGGCATAACATATTAGGTCCTAATAACAGCAAATATATCATCACACAAATCATTCATGTTCCTGTGCTGAAATTTTAAATGGAGTGGGTGAATACACCTACTAATACTGACAATACCCATCTTACAGCTGCAGTGTAATTGGTGCCACTGTGACATGAAGCAGGGCAGGGGCAGGAGAGAGGAAACTTCCACAGAATTATGGTTGAGTCCATGAAATACCACATTCAAAAAAACCAAGGTGGGAACCCTCTCTTTATAGTTTATATATGAGAATTTGATTCATCAACACCCAGGAAAAGGGATCCACATTTTCTTGCTTAGATGATGGATCTCCTAGTTATTTATGGGAAGGAGGAGATGGTTTTCAAGACCCCAGAGATGTGGAGGGAGAGAAGGAATCCTATAAATGCAGCAGCAAAGGGAGATGAGGCAGCAGGTCACCAGGTGAGCTGTTGTCGCAGACATCTTTTCATTCAAAATCCTTTCTTAGGATTTTTCTTCCCGAGAAGCTGAGACGCCTCAGGAACAAAATGTAAACAATGGTTATCTGCTGCTGTGGAATGCAACAGGTGCATCTGGGACTGGCCTATGTTGGATGTTTGTAATTAATGGCCAATCCCAGCCCAGTTAGCTTGGACTCTCTGTCCGAGACACAAACCTTTGTTATTCATTCCTTTCTATTCTTAGCTTCGCCAGCCTTCTGAGATGAAACTTTTCCTTCTATTCTTTTTAGTATAGTTTTAATGTAATATATATCATAAAATAATAAATCAAGCCTTCTGAACATGGAGTCAAATCCTCATCTCTTCCCTCACCTGAAAACCCCTGTGAACACTGTCACAAGCTGTGTCTCACCTTCCAGCTTGGAAAAGCTGGGCTCAGCCCAGGATTTGTAAAAAAGGTGCTTTGAGTCCCAGTAGACCTCTCCTAAAAGGTGATCCCTGCCAAAGGTACGTGGCTTGTAGGGAGAAGGTGTTGGTGCTGGCATCTGTCAGACAGCCCTGGGTGGGGATTTAGGACACAGGAAGGGTTCAAGGCCAGTCCTGACCTTTGCATGCAGCTCTGTGAGGGATTGGTGTTCATACATGTGGGTTTCTGAGGCTTTATGTGTGATTTGGGTTGGTGCACATTGGTTAATGGGTTGATTAACACTGCTGTCCCAGCACTCCAAGATGCCCCATCTCAGCACGAGGTGGAGGGTAGAAACAATGGAGATTTCTTTTTCCTGTACTACTCTATCAAAAAGTTCAGGCGGTGACTTTTGTTTCAACATCTACATATTAATATCTGCTGCACAGTTTAGGCTGAGATTTGTTTCCTTTGCTGACAGGCTAACCTGCTCTCTGGGCTCTGTCTGCAGCAGCCCACCAGCACCTTTGCCAACACCAACCTGGATTTGCAATGCTGAGCCCCCATTCTCCTCAGCAGCAGGACAAGGGCCAGCCACTCTCATTCTGCTCAGGTCTCCAGAGCACTTCTAAGTGACAACAGGAGGAGAAAAAACCAACATGCTTGGGTCTGCCCTGAGGCACATTGTTGGGAGTTATTAACAGGACCTGGTTTGCACTTGGCCACCTTGGTTTGGGCAGAAAGTTTCTGTTTTGGCCACATTTTGGTATGGAAATACCCCAGACAGAGCAGAGATGATGGATGGGAACCATGGCAGCCAGAACCAGCCTGCCAAAGGGATTTTACCCAGCCATGCAAAGACTGATGGGTTAGCCTGAGTATTTCTATTGATGTGGGGCAGAGGGAGGAGATGCTCAGCTGAGCCTGGTGAGGATTGTTATACAAATGTGGTTGTGTTGGTCTAGAAATCATATAATCATAGAATGTCCTGAACTGGGGAGGACCCACAAGGATCATCAAAGCTCAACTCCCAGCCCTACACAGGAGAAGCCCAAAAAGCCCACAGTGTGTCTGACAGCATTATCCCAACACACCTCAAACTCTGCCAGGCTTGGTGCTGTGGCCACTTTGCTGGGGAGCCTGTTCCAGTTCCCAGCATCTTCTGGGTGACGTGCATTTTCTCAATATCCAAGCTAAACATCCCCCGACACAACTTCATGCTGCTCCTTTGGGTCCTAATGGTTTCATCCAACACTGAAAGCCACTTTGAGCTCAGTGTTCAAGGATGGAAATGGTAAGAAAAAGTCATATTTCTCCTCTGCATCTCTACTAATCCCACCAACCATGAGCAACAGGAAACCCTCAAAAGAAAGGAATCTGGCTTTATGGGGCAGATTATTCCACACATCTTTGAGACTTCACAGACAGCCTTCATAGACTGCCTTTCAACCCCTGGCAACTTCAAGTGTTATATAAGTGGTCATACAAAACCTGGCTTGAAAAAGTTTGGATTTAGGGGTGTCTGCAGGACAGAGCTCCTTGTGCAAGAAGGGCTTGGCAGCTGCAAGGATATTGTTTAACCAGCAGGTAAAAGGTGACTGCTGCTGCAAATCCTGAGCAGTACTTTGAACAAGTCTGGCAGTGCTGTCACTTTTATAAGAGGATCCTTTGGTTTGGTACCAACTTGGCCACTGAGTTCCTGCAGCAATTGCTAGATCAGAATTAAGGGGAAGAGCTGATGCCCTTCACCCACCACAACTTTGCAGTGGATGCAGTATGAGCAGTGGGTGCAGTGCTTTACAGCCAAGCAATGTCATTGTTTTGGTGTGTGATTTCTGATTTAATATGGCACCTGGGTCTAATGTGGCATTCAGCATCCGTGAAAAACCCAAATATCTCCCCTTCACACAGTGAACATCGTTCCCCCTGGTCCCACAGTGGGTCAGGGTCAGTGAGCAGAGCTGTCACCCTTTGTGGGCTGTGTGTCCAAGGCTCTGTGCCCTCCCATCCAATACGTGGAGCTGGGAGCCGGCGCCAACTGGGAGCAAAGGTTTTGGCTCTGCTGGCCCCAGGGAGGCGACGGCACGAGGGCTGTTTTGCTTTTCCAGCATGATAACAAACATCATCCCCTGTTATCTTCGGAGAGAGAGACCTCTCGGGGAGGGGAGGAGTGAGGCAAGGTCAGCTCTGTACCTCAGCTGACACCACTGCCCATGAAAGCTCCATGGCAGCGTCAAACTCACGTGTTTGCCAGCCTTTGGTAAACATTTATCCTTCTTGTTGTTGTCAGGGCTGGCTGGTGGGGCTGGGCCGAGGTGCAGGGGCAGTGGCAGGGGTGGCATTGCTGCTCCTCTCGCCTTGCCTGACCTCCCTGTGTGAGATTCAAAAGCACCCACACATCCTCTTCAGAGCCTTGCTCACTTAAATCAGGCAAACCAGTTTAATTTTTAAGCTTTTAGGGACTTTCTCTCTGCCATCTCCCTGCCATCTGGGAATAGCAGGGAATATTTAAGGAAAGTGAACCTGGGAATTTTTAAGTGAGCAACATAACCCCAAGGGTTAATATTTCCCTAATCGGGGGGACAAAAAATACTGTGTGACCTCAAGCCCCAGTTACAACCCAGTGATGCTGTCCAGCTTGTGACTTACGTATTTGCAGCAAATTCCTTATCTGTAACAGGCATTGAAAGGGAAAAAAAGGGTAAATAAAGCCTATCAGCAGTATTGTATCGTTGGCTCTCCCTGCAGACCTTGCTTTACTGATAATTATTAACTCAAACTGAGAGCCATTACAGAACTCATAACTAAAATATGATGGTACTTCTCAAAATTAAAAATGCCCAGGGAATGCTTCACTCTGCTCAAAGAATGAAATGCCCACAGGGTTTCCTGTGTGCACCAGGACAACTTGGGGTTGTCCCCATCGCTCTTGCTCAAAACCCAGATGGGAGAATTGCAGCATGGCCATGGTAAAACCTACTGTTCTCCCTTTAGGTCATCTTGTGAGGTTGTTTTGTTTTGTTTTTTTCCCCACTGCCTTCCATTTCCCTTTTTCTCACTGTTTTCTCTGGCTGGGGCACACACACAAGGTCCAGTTGCTTGCTGGTTCTTGAAAGCAAAAGCACTTTAAACCCAGTCCTTTGACATGAGTGCAAACAGCCCTGGAGCATTTCCCACAGTCAGTGAGCTCAGCCCCTCTCCCCATTACAAGCTAAAAAGCTGGCTTTAATGTATATAATAAAAGACATCGTTAAAAACTGTGCTTTAATAAAGAAATACAAATGACAATCTAAAAATGTATTTTATTGGGCTGCTAATAATGACCAGCGGTGAGAGTGGAGGGGGGAGCCATATAATGAGCTCCTGGGAGGGGGTTTGGACACAGCTGTCCCACGTGTCCCAGAAATGTGGCAGAGGACATCTCGAGCTCCCTGGGAGCCAGGGGACAGGCTGGCACTGAGCAGCCTGGCACCCCCAGACCCAGGTTTGGCACAGCAGCTCCCCAGCTCGGGGCTCACCAGCCCATTGCTCAGCTTGGGAAAGGAGCAGGCAGGCACTGAGGAGCTCAAGTTTGGCATATTCACGTCGGTACAACAGAGACTGTTCCCTCCCTTGCCCGGTGCCTCCTGCCTGCCCCATCCCCTCGCCTGCCCCAGTGCCTGGCGGGGCTGGGCCAGACCCCACTGGAGCAAGTCAGACACAGGAGAGGGAACCTGATTCACACTGAGGGCCAGGATGTGAATCTGGCCTCACAAATAACAGCAGCATTTCCCCCTGGGATTAACAAAACATGTAAATCTTCTTGGTTTGGAAACTCATTTTTTTTTTACCTGAACACAGAGCTCAGTCCCTCCATCATTAGCAGATGTCCTGCATACGAACTGCATTACCTATAAAGTCTGCTTACTCCAAGCAAATGTTTCTCCATCTCTTCTCTTTTTTTTTTTACTTCAATTTGAAGTGAAAGGTACAGTATAGGATTCAAATGCTTTTGCATTACACGGGTTTCTGACCACTTGAAAAACCCCATGGAAAAAACGACTTCACAAACCTGAAACACCGGCTGAATCGTTTTGCTGCACTTCTTTCTGCCTGGCTGAACTTTCTTATGATTTCTATTTTTTTTGCTCTCTCTCTCTCTTTGCTTTACATGGCACTTTGCTTTTGCTTGTTTAATTTTATTTCTTTATTAAAAAAAAATAAATTCATAGCTCCTGTTTCAGCTCTCACTTCGTGTCAGTATTTCTACCCTGTGGATGTGTCACACAGGCAGGAACATCAGGAAATTGCCCAAAAGGCAGAACTACAGAGTAGCTCAAAGGAAGAAGCAAACCTGAACACCACAGCATGGTTTGGTGTTGTCCCAGCTCTTGCCCACACCAAATGCTGGCTCCAGGGAAGAGCAGGCTGCAGAAATAAGAGGTAACTCACAGAAGGGTACAGAAATTGGGCTTTGTCACCCACAGCTGGCTGGCCTGCTTGCCACGATCTGAATGGCTCCTCTGACTTTTCTTTGGCTCAAAGGTTTAACATTAAGGCAAAAATAAGACACAGTGTAGAAGCTCCATCAAATCTTTGGCACAACAGCAACAACAACAACAACAACAAAAAATTACTGTACACATGAGCTGAGAGGGTAACATTTCCCAGTTAAGCAAAGGGAAAAGTGCTAAATAAATTGCACGTACGAAAAGGTGGCTGGCTTAACAACAATAAGAAGCATCCCTGTCCTTTTGTTTTTCCTTTCCTTTTCCGTTTTTCCTTTCTGTTCCAGAGATTAAGAAAGTTCCTTGGCCAATCGTCATCTCCAGTAGGGGTTTCTGCAAAAAAGCCGCTTTCAGTCTTCATCTGGATGGTGCAACCTTTGCCAAGACCAGACGTAGCTCTGGCTGGAAGCTCTTGTGAATCCTCCCTTGCTGGTTGTTACTCCTGGAAGGAGAGAGAAGCACCATGAGGTCAGTGAGCACGCGGTGTCACCGTGTCACCGTCCTTGGGGACCGCTGCCCGTGGATCTGCAATGCCCCAGAGCTGGGCTCACACTGGAGCCATCTGTGGGTGCCACAGCGGAGGACAGAGCCTGCCCAGAGGACAGGGAGTGGCAGACAGGAAGAGGAAGGCTTGGGGAAGGAAAACAACACAGTAATTTGGTGTTGGGTCCAACTCCTGCTGAAAAAAATAAATAATTAGAAGTGATGGCAAATATCTGCTATTTTCAGTTCAGGAGCTGATCTCAGAAAGCAAAGGAGTGGCAGCTAGAAGGGTTTAAGCAGGAGATGGGCTTTCCTTCCACATTTTAGCTGTTGCATTGAGTTTTCTGCAGGCATGGCCGCTCGGTCTGTGGGACTGCAACTTGTCCCATGTACCTGTCACAGCTGTGGCAATGACTTGGGAAATTACACTGGGCTACAGAATATTACGGCCAGGTCCATAGGAAAATGGTCAACTCCAAACCGTGGCAGCTTGAGACAAGGAAATCTCATCTAAACCCCCTTCGGCATTAAAATAAGCCCCACGAATATCCCACAAACAATGGTTAACATAGTTCAAAACAGAAGAAAATCCTCAGGGCCTGAGGATTTCATGAGATCACATCCCCATTGTCCAAACTGCCTTCATCACGTGGGCTCTAAATCCTCTTTTAAATAACTTAGGAATTAGAAACTTGGAAATGAGATCACATTTAGCTAGTGCTACCAGCGTTTCTTGCTTTTTGCCAGTGGATTTAAGAACCTTTCAGGGTGCAGTACAGCTTCTGAAAGTCCTTTGGACACCGTCACCAATTCCCTGAACAGGTCAGCCACATTTCTGTCAGTGTTAACAGGGTCAAACTCCTTAAAGCCTGGCCTGAAAAACTTTCTTCCCCAGTCAGTTTTGTTTCTGTACTGCCTGTCCTTTTCCATCCCTGGACATTGTAACATCAGGGTATAAAATACTGGTAACCTGCTGGTATTTATTTGATTTATGGCAATCATTAGGGCAGCTGCTGTGAGATCAACGATTACAGCTGGTCATCCATGACAGGCTAAGGGACAGGGGAACCTAAAATCCACCTTTTCACCCTCTCCTGTCAAGTGCAGACCCAGGGAAGCTCAGGACTGCCCCAGCACCATCAAGGTTTCTCTTGATAAGAATGTTTCACTAAAAGCACCCAGGTCATCCTCCATGCAATAAATGCTGGTGTCTGCTGGACCCCAGATTCCTGGAGTTGTCTCTGGACAATCCTACCTAGAGCTGCTCAGAGAAAATGTAGGAACTTGCTCCGATTCAAGGCTTTATTTGGGATGTTGAATAAATGAGGTTCAGGTGGGAGAATGACAAACAGCCTTATGCATTGCCAATGTTTCTGTTGGGACCCTTCAACAATATGTAATGTATATTAATAACCTGTAATAGAAAAGTTGGTTGTTTAATTTATCCCACATTTACCTAGGGAAAGAAAATGTGAAAGAAGGGAAGCAATGACTGCTCTCATTAACATTAAAAGACAGCAGAGAGATCAAAAGCATTTGTGGGTTTGGGGAAGCAGGATGGCTTTAGGAGGAGGAGTCTCAGGGCCAGGTCTCTGCTCTGAAGCTTCTGCAGCTGGGGAAGATCAACCATGGGGGAACAGGAGGCAATATGCACAAACCAGGCCAGGGCATTTGTGCTGTGCCTTCCAGCCACAGGAAATGGGAAGGGGAATGGAGAGATCCCCCTGCAGCACGATGGAGATGCTCAGCACACCTCACTGGCACCACTGGACGGGTCCCCAGGCACTGCCCAACGCTTGGCCATGGGTTATGTGTGGTGGGAAGAGGCTTTTATTTCCCCCTCCACCCTTTTTCACTCAGCCAGGAGCTCTGAAGACAGATTTATGAGCCTGGGTCTGCTTCAAACTAATAACATCAGAACTCCCATGGCTCTTGAATTTGACAACTGGCCCAATGACCTTGGTGAGTTTGCAGCATCCTGGAGCATTTCAATCTCCATAAATCAAAGCACTTCTGGAATTGAGTCAGCCTTTGTTCCAGGGCTTCTCCTGTCTCTTCTACTCACATCTTCCTTCTGCTGCAGTTACCCAATATCTGTGGGGTGGATCTTACCCTATTCTTGGCAACACCCTTGCTACAGAGGGGATGGATCCTATGCTGGGATCCTGCTCCCACCAAGGGAGCAAATCCTTTAAAGCAAAGGGGCTTTTGGGGTGCTGTGATGGAACAGGGGAGTCTCGCATCACATCCTGTTGTAAGGAAAAGCTTTGGGCCCTGCTCTTTGGGGTACTGAGTCCCACATCACATCCTTCTGTAAGGAAAAGCTTTGGGCCCTGCTCTTTGGGGTCCTGATGCTCAGTGCCCCAGTGGGCTGATGCAGGGTGTGCAGTGCCCTTGGGGTACCCTGTCCAGAGTTGGGTGATCTTGCTCATGAACTCCTCACGAGCCTTAGCACCCGTGCCCCACCTGCAATCCTTGTTTTGGGCCGCAGGGACATGCAATGCACAAGTGACAAACAAATTAACCTCACTACCCTCTCACTGCCGTGTTTCTCAGCAGGTCCCTGGGTGGGCAATCCTTCACCCAGCACGCAGCAGGGATACCCCATGGCCGGGCAGACCCAGGTCCCCTCCGTGCCCCCGGGATGCTGTCCCGTGGCAGACAGGCAGAGGGACGGGCGGCTCAGGCCGGGCTGGGCTCTCCTGTGGTGCAGCTCCTCCCTGGAGCTGGCGGCCGTGGGGATCAGACTGGCTGGCTGCCCGCGCTCGCCGGCAAGTCCGAGCAGGGAAATGAAGCTATTTTTAAAGAGGAGCCTCTGCTAAGGCAAACTGCAGGGGAAAGGCAGGTCGAATCTCATTATGAGACCCCCTCCCTCCTCCCCACACAGGATGGGAAGCCACGAGGAAGAAATGCCATGCAGATCATCAAGGTTTTACTGTGCTGGCTCTGAATGGTTCTGATAATCAATATCAGATGATCAATAACAGCGAGACCCTGCAGCCAGGATCAGCCACACAAACCAGGGGGTGGGAGCTGTGGCTTTATCTCGGGGCTTTGTCAGAATAAATCACGAGTCATGATACAGTGTTATCAAAAAAATATGCTCCAAGCAAATGGTTTCAGTGCTGTACAAATCAAGTCTGCCACTACCATTTCTCTTTTATAATATGAACCCTTAACTTGTTCACTCCTGCAGGTAAATACGCCTGCAGAACACCCTCCTTCTAATTTTTTCAGCAGGAATAAGTGTTACCTACAGCAGGAGCTATGCTTTTAGCAAAGTAGCAATGAGGGGGCATCAAGGCACGGCACAACACCACAATAACTATTTTATATAATGCAATAATGACATACATAATGTCACCCCTTTTAGTGCAGCAGGCTGCAACAGAGAAGCTTTTTGTTCCATATATGTTTCTATATTGTTTAATTATCTGGGAAAAGACATATACACAGCTTATTTTTAATTTTTAATTCCTTGCGTCTGTGCTCATCCACACACACAGGCACAAAAACAAGAAACTAAATTCCAGCCGAAAACTTTTATTGAGCTCCAACAGCTCGCCTGTTATTCATAACCCAGTTTCCTCTCTCACAAAGAGACCTTTCGCATGGTTTTGGTTTTTTTTTTTTTTTTAAATGTGTGTGTGTGTTTCTTTTTTTTTTTTTTCCTTTTTTTTTTCCTCCCCTTCTGCCTCGCTAACAGCTGCTCGCAGTGTTGTATCCTGAGTGATGATGAGGTTCTGAAAGTGTTTTTTTGGAACAGATGGCCAGGAGAGAGCTGGGGAATGTGCCAGCAGCGAGCTGGGGAATGCGCCAAGTCCTGCAGTGACTGAGTACTCCGGGTTCCAGCTCGCGTGCCTTTCCCCTGCCCTCTGCCCCAAGTGGCGCCAGCAGGACTTCCCAGCTCGCGCTCCGAACATCTGGAGTCTGAGACTGCCAGAAGAGCCGCCACGGGGGGAGGATGGAGCAGAGAGAGAGGGAGAGAGAGAGAAAATATCCCTCACCCATCGCTCCCTGCTCCGGCTGGGCTCCCATGGCCGCCGCGACGCTGCGGCCTAGCACGGCGGCTGATCCCGAGGGGAAGGGAAAGGAGCCTCGTCACGGGGGTTGGGGTGCTGGGTGCTGGTCCCTGCTTGGATCCTGCTCCGTGTGCACTGAGTGACTGTGGTTGTGAATGAAGCCCTGCCCCACAGTTTTGGGGTCAGATCCTGTGGGGCTGGGGGGCTCTGATGCACAGCTCTGTACCCTACAAATAACAGGCAGAGCCCCCAGCCATGCACCCTACACCCTTATCCTGAGCCTCAGCTGCTTTCCTGCAGGGCACCAGGATTCAGCCCTGGAAAAAAGAGATTCTGGGAGCAGCAAGTTGGACCCCAAACACTAAAGAATCCCTGTGAGGCTTTCAGATACCCCCTGGCCACTGAGGATCCTGTGCCATGCAGAAACAGGGTACCTTGGGGGAAAGGAAAACTTGGCCTTCCCTTTCTCTTGCTGCTGCTGCCTTTCCTTTCTCTGTGCTGCTGGAGAATGCTCCTGGCCGGAGCTGAAGGCAATTCCCCCCCTTTTTCCAGGACATCAGCGTGGCCCCTGCAGGACTTGGGGCTCTGCTGAGGGTGTTGCAACCCAGATCTCCAACGTGGTGCAACTCTTGGGTGCACGGTTGAGGACGAGGCTTAGTCCAGATCATTTATAACCAAGCAAGAGGCAGCTTTAAGGAATGAAAACTATCATCAGAATTCACCACCACCACCCCCCCACAGGCAGCTTTTTTTCTTCTTTTTTAAGAAAAGGCAACTGAAGCCTCCTTCGTTGCTTATAAATGAGATCTCCCATCACCAAACACCCTCAACTGCAAGAACTAAAATCACCTTATAACTGTGGTCAGGACAGAAAAGGGGATTTTCTTTTTTCTAGTCAACTTTGAAAAACTAAAGCCAACTTTTCTAATTAACAAAATGAGAATAGAAGGGGGTGGGGGGGGATAAAACCACTCAGTAAATTTCCTATTGCAACAGCAAAATATGAACAACAACCTAGCGTTAGGGACACAGGATAATTTGCCCCCAAAAACAAAGCAAAAGGCAATGCACAATCCAGCAAATGCAACATCTGGAGTCTCTGCCTGCCAAAACAAACTCCAACCAGCTACTTTTTTGTGTGAAAAGATCACGGTGCCACAGCACATTGCAAGCAGAGAGCTGAGAGAGAGGCAGACACACAATAAAATGGAGATGACAGGAGATAAGGGTGCTGTGGACCTAAGGTGCAGCTCAAGGAGGTCTGCGCTCAGGATCGCTGGGATTTTTTTAAGAGAGAATATAAAAGGAAACTCAAAACAAAACAGTAACAAAATAACAACCACCCCAAAGCCGATAATTCGGAGGAACTGCTCAGTGAGCAGTGGTTTCAGAGACCTGATTAAAACCACACAGAGCTCACAGAAACGAGCCGATCTCAACGTGAATGAGGGAGCAGCGATTTTGGGCCAAGCCATTGTATCCTCATCCATTTGCCCGTGTGAGACCCCCCAGGAGAGACATCCCTCCCCACCACCTGACACCCAGAGCCTGGACCGGCTGCACAGCCATCCCACATCTGTAACTGCCCTCTGACAACAGCCTTTTCCTCCCCTGAGCTCACCATCTGCTGGGCTCAAGGAGAAAGGGAGACGTGCAAGATGAGTCCTCCCAGCCCAGGCTTTGCATCCCCACTCCCATCTACTGGGGTTTACCAGAGTTACTCAGTGGTACCTGCTGGTTTTGGCTTCACCAGCAGCTGGATGAGCTCCTGCCATCACCTGAGCCAATACTGCTGGAAATAAAACTGTACTTGTCGTCCTTAAGGGAATCTGTGTGCTCTGGGGCTGCCCTAAGCTGGCAGCAGAACTATCATTTCCAGCAAGAAAAGCAAGGCAGAGCAGGGACTAAGACCCTGCCTCGGGTACCAAGCCTGGCTTTCTTTTCTAAGGGGGCTTTTGGAGAAGGTTCAGGTTGGGCGTCCTTCAAGAACGTGGAGAAAAGGCAGATTTTCTCCTGGTGATGCTGTTTCTGTGGGTTGGTGGTGCCTGGGAGCTGCCCTGGTAGAGTTCATTGTTCAGGCACTCTTGGTTGGCTTGGGGCTTTTCTCCATGCATCCACTCTGAAAGGAACCACCGTAAATGGAAGGCTTTTAAATCTTCACTTGATTTTTAAATTAAGGATGGGCCCAGCTCTAACCCTCAGATGTAAACATCCTGGGATTTGGAGCCATTTAAAATCTGGCTCCTTGTTTTCTGTCTTTAAGCCTGCATTGGGTTACATATGCCAAGACAATGGGTCTCAGCCCACTGGACACCCAAAGCCTGAAGAGCAGCCCAGAAATGTGCTGCAGCCTCATCAAGGATGCTCATTCTCTTCCTTCCCTCCATTGTGACTTTGGGAGGGCACCCAAGACCTAAACAGCAATCTACTAAAGCCTCACAAAGGATGCTCATCCTCTCCTTGACATGGAGAGGGGCTCCCAGACCCAACCAGCAACCTGCTGAAGCCCCAAAAATGATGCTTTTCTCCTCTCCCATCTTAACTTGCAGAGGAGACCCAAGAACCAGCTCTCAGCTTGCCCCAGGGTTGGCAGCACCACTTCAGTGTCCCTGGGACACCACTGCCTGTGGCACCACAGAGCCCAGGGTGAACCCCCAGTCTGGGGCCGTGCCCTGGAGCTGCCCCACACCTCCCAGCCCCAGGCAGGGCTGCCAGCTGTGGGCACGTGGGGCTGTGTCTCTCCCTGCCTGGCACTGCTGCTCCGTGGGCATCAATACAGCCCCTGACAGCCAGAGGAAGCAACAGGGAGTGTGCTATTGTGTTTATTTATAAACAGAGCTGCTGCAGGATGATTTGTTGGGCTGAAGAGGAGGAAAAGTGAGGAAACCTGCCCGAATCAGAGGCAGATCTTAACAACACCGGGGAAGGAGCCTGCTCCCCAGCTTAGCTGCCCATTCATCCATTAAAATCCTGCTGATTTATTATCCTGCCTGACAAGCAAGCTCAGGGAGCAGGGGGAAGTTCAATTCAAGTTTACAAAACTCTTTTTGTCATAAAAGCCTGAACAAAGACATCAATCACTCCTTTAATTCAGCCATGTCACTCTCTGAGGGGAAAACTGGCAGAACGCTCTGCTTCTTCCTCCCACCGCTTGACGATGATTTCACCTAATTGGTTCAGTGTTAAGTAACCTAAAGGAATGCAAGGCATAATTAGATTTAACGTTGTTTCCTCAAGATACCCACATGTCCTTCAGGTCATACATCTTACTAATGTGTTTATACATATAATGTCTCCATCAGCTACCTTTTTTTTTGTTGTCGGGTGATTTTTCTCAGAGATAAGTGTGAGATTAAACAAAACAGAAAACACAGGAGGGTGACAGCGTTTCACAGGCTCCCAAAGGCGACTCAAGGCAGGTTTGGTTTAACAAGTAACAGTCCCAAGATGACTCTTAATGGGATCAGCTCGTGCTGAAACACACGATGGGCGACTAACGAGGGGAAGAGCGGGGAGGAGAGAAAAGCTTTTGATTAGGGAGGAATGTGGTTATTACAAGATCAGATGGATGGAGGAGAAAAACACAGAGAGAGAGAAAGGCGAGGGATAAAAAATGCGAGGCAAATTTCACAAGGCTCAGAAAAGAAGGACACCACTTTGGATTTTTGTTTTTGGTTTTTTTTTCCCCTCCCTTTTGTAACTTTTGCCGTTTTTTAGGGGGTGAGTTGGGGGAGAGGCTGTAACATACCTTCCTTTTTTTAGATCTTCCTTCTGCTTGTAAGGTCCTAGTGCACTGCTCCACGCATTCAGAGAAGCTCATGTTACTGTGGTCAGCGCTGTAATCCAGGTCTGCTAGTCTGGCCAGGGAAAGGATATAGTTACAGGCTATTCTCAAGATGGCCAGTTTGGACAACTTTTGACCATAAGAATAGCAGGGAACCTAGAAAGGGCAACAGGGAAAAAGAAATAATTAAAAATTAGGCCAGATAAACAAAACATCTCGCTTGAAGCATGACAAAACAACTCTGAGTTATTTTCTTAGCAGTTTTAACACAAATAGAAACTCTAGTGAAAAAATACCATATGGTACCAACAGGTTTTTAAGAAGAACTCCCCTGCTGATCTCCATGGGGATGAAAGCAGCATGAAGCCTCTTGATTTCAGCAGGGCAGTTCTGCTTAAAATGTGATGGCAGGATATGTCCCAGGACATCTGCCTGCTGCTCAGGTCGCCTCTTGGAGGCCCTGCTTCTCAGAAACCTGCATCCCCACGCCTCCCAGTAACTTGTCTTGAGCAAGTTACTCCCCACAATCAGCTCCCATGTCATCACAGGTCTTGCAGAATAAGGCAATAAGAAGGTATGAGCAGTTATATCACAACCCATTGTTTCTGTGCTCAAACATCATCAATTGTGACTTTTGAGTTTCTGCTCATGCAAAAACACAATGTTGTTGAGTAGCAGGACCTTGAGCGAGCAGTAATTTCTACCTGTTCTAATTTCTAACACTCCATCATGGTACCTCACCCCACAAAAGAGACCAAAACTGAGCCTGTTTCAGGGAGCTGGGTGCATCTCATGCAATTTATTGCTTCACCCTTAAAGATTTCTATTACAACGTGAAACATTTGAAGGATTCAAACTATTCTGAATGGGTCTCAATAACTGAGCAGTTTGTGGTTCTTGCTGCAGAAGGGTGGGTTGCTTTTCAATCATGATCTATAAAAACGCTACCTCTGCACTTGATTTTAGGCATAAAACTTTAATATGTCCAGCTTAAAGAGAGGTCTTCTGAATCCAACAGGCTTGGGCACCCCATTTTCTAGTTTGTAAAATTGCTGAAGGTCACTCAGCCTTTAATGAGCAAGAGTCTCTTGCCTACAGGAAACTGAAGCTGTGCATTCATCTGAAACCCATCCGAGCCCCTCAGGTTGTCTGAGCACCTGTCAAAGCCTTCACATCATCAATCACTGGCACACCTCAGTGTTTCTCCACCACCTGCCTCCATGCCAGTCTCCATTCTCCACAGCCCTCTGGGGTGTCACACTCAGCTTAGGGCTGGGGAGTTCTGTTTCCTCTTGCCATGCCCATGCCTCAGCTTCTCTCTCCTCCACAGGACACAAAGATGGGAACATCCCCGGAATGCTTTCCCTGACTTTACAGAAGGTAAAATGGGTTCAGCCCCTCCACAAACCCCACAGCACCCACACACAGCTGCCAAAGGAGGAGCAGAACAGCTCAGGCATACACAGGATTTCCGCAAGTGTTCTGTCAGGCTCCAGCTACCATCACCTCCATCACTACAGCTAGATGTGCCATTCCTGAATTTAGCAACCCACGATAGATCTTTTCTGCCCATGAACTTGGTGTGGTAAGCTGAACCAACCCTGTTGATTTTCAGCAGCCACAACATCTTTTTGCAAAGTGTTCTCTCCAGTCTATATAAATTTTTTCTCTTTTTGCTTGTTTTGAACTTGGCTCCTACTGTCTTCCCTTGAGGTACTACAGTTCTGTAGAAGAGAGGACAACAGATATTTATTCACCTCCTGTGTGACATATGTTTTTCAGTTCATCATCATCTTTTCAGCCTCTTCTCCAAAAGAAAAAGATTAATCCTGCTCAGCAGACAGTTCTATGGAAGCCATCCCATATCTTTGATGACCCTTGCTGCTCTTTCCTGAACCTTTCCCAGTCCCTTTGGAGATGAGATGATCAGAACAACACAAAGTGTTCGTGCTGTGGGTGCATGTATCTAACAGATGCTTATGTTCTCTGTTTTGTTTAATGTTCCTTTCTTCCTAATTCCTGATCTGATTTGTGACTGCTGCCAGACACTGACCTGAGACTTTCCTTGAACCATCTAGAGAAACCCCAAGGTCTCCCTTCTCTGAAATAATGGTCAATTCAGGGTCTACCACTTCACACGTGGACTCTGGTATGGGTTTTTCCATATGCATCACTCCACTTTATCTGTGTGGTATTCACCTCTTCTGCCACATGATTACCTCATCACTCAGAGTCATGAACCTCAGCACAGCTCACACAGCCACAGTTTCAGGCGGTGGAACCTGACATTCCCTGTGTAGAGCAGAGCTGAGCGCAGCGTCAGATCCTGGTTTGCCAACCAAGATGTCCCTCCCTGCAGGAACCGGCCCAGTTTCCCTACCCACCATCCCCTGCCTCTACACTGACCACCGGCCCGCACTCCCAGCCAAGCTGTTTGGTTTCTTCTTCCCCAGGGAACACTCTGCCATGGTGCTAATGGAAATCCACACTGGCTGCTTGGCTCACCCTCACCCAAGAGCACGAGGATTTTAGTGCTGTTGACCCTATGGGCCATGTCTTGTACAACACACAGAATCCTTTAGGCTGGGAAACACCCTAAGGACATGGGCTCCAACCACTAACCCAGCACTGCCAAACCCTGTCCCCAAGCACCACACCTACACATTTTCTGGACACTTCCAGGGATGGTGACTCTGCCGCCTCCCTCGGCAGCCTGTTCCAATGACTGACCACACTTTTAGTGAAAATATTTTTCTCATATCCAATCTAAACCTTCCCTGGCACAACTTGAGGACATTTCCTCTTGTCCTGTCACTTGTTATCTGTGAGAAGAGACCAAATCCCACCTGGCTGCCCTCTCCTGTCATGAGTTGGGCAGAGCCAGAGGGTCCCCCCAAGCCTCCTTTTCTCAGGCTGAGCGCCCCAGCTCCCTCAGCTGCTCCTCATCAGAATTGTGCTCCAGAGCCTTCCCCAGCTCTGTGCCCTTCTCTGGACACGCTGCAGCACCTTAATGTCCTTGTAAAGAGGGACCCAAAACTGAACACAGGATTGCAGCTGTGATGTGGCTGAGGTGCCTCTCCAGAAACCAGCCATAAAACTTCAAATGGCCTTTTTTTAATACGCACCACTTACCACTGATACCCCTGAAAATACAAGGAATCACAGAATAGCTTGGGTTGGGAGGGACCTTTAAAGGTCCCCTAGTCCAGACTCCCCCTGCAATGAGCAGGGACATCACGGATATTCTGTTTCAGAGCCCCTTTTTGTCTGACAAAACCTCTCTCTAAATGCCTGCCTTCACTTTTGTTGCTCCCAGCAATGCCCCTGCCCTCAGTACCTGGTCCCCAGATGCAATGAGCTGAGTTCTTTTAAAGCAAGAGCTGCAGGCAGCAGCAGGAACACCCAGGGCTCTCTGGACGCCAGCACAGGGAAAGCAGAGACCCCAGATCAAACAGCACCAGGGAAGAACAAAGCAAGACGGAAACTAAAATGGAAGGATTCAGTGAAATGTGGGAGTAATTTCAGAATTAGAGCAAGAGGGAAGTTAAATTGAGTGGAAGGAAAATAGACCATGAAATCCTTGAGGCTGATGCACAGACGCTGTCCAGTTACAACACGAGCCGGCAGGCCAATGTCTCCTTTCCTCATCTGTTTTGCTCTTTCTTTTGTGTTTTGGGATTTTTCTTTTTCTTAAGGAAACAAAAAAAAAACAAAACAAAACCCAAACTATTTTGTAGGACGTGTTTGCTACAAAAGGCAAGGAAGATTTCAGTGCTAGCACAGCTGACAAAACCCTCATCTGGGATTACACAGCACTTTTCCCACACTGCTGCAACAACGTCCAAACTGCCTGTATGCCCATGGGAAGAGTTTCACCTTGAGGTGTCCAGATACTCCTGTGATGGGTGCAGGGCTCCAGCATTAGGAGATAAGAGGTTTTTTTTGCCATGGTAACAGTGTTAGAAAAACTATTTCATAGGAACCCTCCCTGTCTTGGCTCAGCTCCTGCCATTTTAATGTTTCCTTTTGAATTAAACATGGGAAATTAAGAGAGGAATGAGCCACTTAGTTCAAAACCTGAGCCAAAACTTCCCCAAGTGTGTCTGTGTGTAACTTTGGTATTACCTCTTCTTTAACACCAAGTCTACAGGAGCGAGGGGACAGATTTGTACAAACTGCAGTAAGGGGTGTCAGTGACACACACAGAAATCTTCAAAATCCAACTTAAAACAGAGAGAGTGTTTTAGAGGTGGGAAAAACACCTGAGGCTGGTGTGGCCCTGCCGGTGTAACCCTGCCAGCTCCCACAGAGCCTCCACACAGGTCTTTGGCAGGCAGGAACGTGAGCAGGTATCTGTCCTGCTCCTGGCAAGGACCAAACCCTTCCCTTCTGTCACCTTCTTGCTCCCCATGCCTGAACTGAACAGAATTCAGTGCTTCAATGGGGCAGCTGTGAGCGGAGCAGGTCCATGCAGAGCCAGGGGGAACCAGGCTCGAGTTCCTGGGCAGTTAATGGAAATACTTCCCTTATCTGACCTCACTGGTCTCTGGGGAGCAGCAGCACAGCTCACCATCTTGCCTGCGAAATCTGCAATGATGAAAAGGAATTAGGAAGGAACCGCAACTGAAATTTCACACCAGCCCTGAGGAATGCAGCTGTCTGCGAGAAAGGCAAGGACACCAGCACCATCCTCAGCTTTGGGACGTCAGCACAGAGTGAGCTGGGACCAGAGCTCCAGCCAGAGGATGTTTGTTAGTTGTGTCTGCAAAGGGCTCTGCGGAGTCTCATGGGTCTTATCAGCGATCCCCAGGCTGGCAGGAGTTGAAGCAAGGCAAGATGAATGCTCCTGGGACATATTCCTGAGCAGAAGAGCCCTTCTTTGGCAGGAAAACAGAAAGGGAAGTGACCTACAGGTCTGGTCTATCCGTGACCTCTCAGACTCGGAGGCAGCGCCCTTGGAAAACCAGAGATGCTCCCTTTGAAGTCCGTGGGAAGGCTGCTGTGCTCCTGACCTGCAGCCAGCCCTCCTGAGCGGGGCAGGGACCCACTGCAGCTCCCCAGAGCATCACTGTCACCCACCACAGCCAGGGGCTGAGGGCTGGTTCTGACATGGCACAGGGGAGGAGGCTGCAGGAGGAGCCTGGGGAAAGCAGGAG